GGAAATCAAGTTACACCCTATCCCGCAGGAGCAAGAAGAGGACATCCCGGTGTGGCGGTTTACTCCCAACGGAGGCTTTTCCCTGAAGACAGCGTATGAAATCACGGATGATGCGGAACAGCCCAGTGGAAACCACCCGCTATGGCGAGCTATTTGGAGGATCCCTGCTACTCAACGGATTCGGACGTTTTTCTGGCTAGTAGCCCACCGCAGGTTGCTAACAAACTGCGAGAGACAGCGGCGGCACCTCGCCTCGACCAATATTTGCCCAGTTTGCGGAGCTGAAGGGGATTCTACTCTCCATGTTATCCGAGACTGCTCCTACTCGACGGCCGCCTGGTCGGAATTCTTGCAAGACGAGCCTGATGATGTCTTCTTCCAGGAGGACTTGATGAAGTGGTCCCTGCATTATATTACAGATAGAAGTCTTGTCATTGATCCCACAAAATTTGCGGTTATGTGTTGGGCACTTTGGAAGTACCGGAACAAACGAGTCTTTGAGTAGCAGCTTGATGAAACACATAGGTTGTGTACTAGTGTGGATACTCTCTGTCAGCAGATTCGAGTGGCCTCAACCAAGGTGTCGCAACTCTTTGGCCAAGGAAGGGAGTACACTCAGAGACTCATAGCGTGGCAACCTCCACCGCCGGAATGGGCTTGTGTGAATACAGACGGCTCCGTTCTGGGAGGGAATGCAGCGGCCGGAGGCGTGGTGCGGGGTGAAGACGGGAGATTCATCAGGGCTTTCTCCGTAAACATGGGAGATAGCTCCATTACAAGGGCGGAGCTTGCAGGTTTGGTACATGGCCTTCATATAGCTTGGGAGCTGGGCATCCGAAAGCTAGTGGTGCAAACGGACTCGATGGCGGTGCTTGAGCTCATCCGTGCAGCGGGTGACAGACATCATCTTGCAGGTTTGATTCGTGAAGCTCGACAGCTACTCGCTCTTGAGTGGGAGGTAAAGGTCATGCATGTGTACAGAGAGGGGAATATGGTAGCAGATTATTTGGCTTCCTTGGGTCATAGTCTACCCCCAGGAGTGCACGTTTTTACGGCACCTAGTTCAACTCTAAACTATTGGCTGTTCTTTGATTTGGTAGGGGTCCAGACACCCCGGTTGGTTATTAATGATTAAGGTTGGGGCGCCTTATAGCCCCAGTTACTACAAAAAAAAAAGATTTGGTTTTGTCTCCCCAATAGATTTGAGGGTGTGTGGTGGTCATGTCCAATCCTAAATCAGAGTAATCAAGATAACCTCGTCAAACAATAAGACATTTTGAAAATTAGATCCTTACTACAAACTAGCGTGGACCCCGGCCAGTTGGTCGGAGGAGGTGAGTTATGAAATTTGATAATATAATGGGGTGTATAGATTATTGTTGTATAGCTTTTTTTAGAAATATGTGATAAAAATAGTGAATTTAAGCAAAAAAGATGCATGAATGATGCAATAAAAAAATCAGTCTTATGAACCAAGTTTGAGTACCTGTTACCTTGCGAAACAATATTATTTCTAGAAATATGAGGAGGTGGAGTAAGTTTATAGAAACCAAATTCTAGAAAACCGAATAAAAAAAATTGTCTATCCCTCGAGTCTTCGAGAAATGAGCATCTCACAATCGTTGCTAGCTTTTACTCGGCCCATTGGCCGATTAATTTTCTTTATAAAACTCTCATCTTGTCGTCAAAGTTATTAATTCGAATGGAACAATTCATTCATAAACTCACGGAAAGGGTTAAATGGTTAACCTACGATCCAACTCGATTAGCCTAGTTTTTCAAATTTGAAGCATATATTATGCTATTATTTTATATCTTAGTGGCTAAAATATAATATATTTTAAAGTTATTAAATGGTTAAACCATGACCAACCCGATTAGTCCAATTTTTATCATTTCAAATATATATTATGTAATTATTTGATATCATAATGATTAAATTATAGTGTATTTTATAGGGAAGGGTTTGGTATTTGTTAGTAAAAACTAAACAGAAAGATGCATTTGGTTATTTTTAACATTAAAACAATCTTAAATATTTTCAGTTTCCTTTCGAATTTCTATGGTTTTGTTCCCGAAGCAGTGATGTGCAAATGGCAAGTTGTAGTCTTCTCTTTTCTTTCACTGTTTTTAATTTTCAAATAGAAAGTTTGAAAGTAAAGAATAATTGGAGTTTGGCATAGGGTAGGTCAAACAAATTTCAAGTTTTGGCACATTTTGACCAAGCCTTATTTATAATCACATGGTTCCCTGACACCAGATAAAAATCTTAATCCAAACCAGTTCGACAGCTGAGTCTAGGGGTGGTAAACGGTAATCCGGTAAACGGTTTACCGTTTTACCGAACCGGTAACCGGCGGTAAACGGTAAACCGGCGGTAAATGGTAAACCGTTTACCGGCGGTATCGGCAGCCAAGCGGGAAGTTGGGGGAGTCGGTTTACCGGACACGGTATCGGTAAATACCGACGGTAAATGGGTATTACCGATACCGAATCCCCCTTCCTACTCCCTAGTGCTGCGCTGCGTTTTGTTGCTTTACCCCTCATTATTCACAAATATAAAATATTACATACATGAATGTAAGTAAGTATAGGCCTCAAAAATATTGTAAATAAGAGTTAATAATAAATTATTAATTACAAAAATGATGAAAAAACTCAAAAAATCAAAATATTACAATATCACCCCACTTCCAGAAATTCAGTTCGGTAAACCGACCGAAAAAATCGCCCGAAGTCGCTTCTCACGGTATTTCGGTAATACCGGTTTGTAACCGTTTACCGGTAATTCGGTAATCGGTAAACAGGTTACAAACCGGTATCGGTAATCGGTAACCAGTTTGGCCAGTTTCGGTATACCGAAACCGGTAAATTCGGTAAACAATTTACCGTTTACCGACCGAATCCCACCCCTAGCTGAGTCCATGTTTACCACCATTTTTTAAGAATACAGAAACGACGGTTCATATCCCAAATTGTGTTGTTCGTTCTTGATTTCTTTATATTTTATCATGGCATGACAAAAACCAGAAAGCACAATGAATCCACTGAACCCAGAATCGCTGTGAAGGAGGGTGGAAATCGCAAACACAGCGGATGGATCTCCCGACCCAATCTCATTCACGCTTCCCCGACCAGATCTGCTCGTCGACGGGAGAGAAGCAAAGACAGAGGGATATGGAAACAGCTTTCGATCGGGCTGAGAAGTGGAGGAATCGTCACCAGAACGGGAAGAAGCACGCACTTCACATGAAATTGACCGCGAAGAACCATAATCGGTGTAGAAGGTCGGTATAGGCGGGTGAGAAGGGTACCGCGAAGAACCATAATTGTTGTAAATCACCTGTCGATCCGCAGCTGGCTTGCAAATGAGAAGGGTACACGCGGCGGGGAGTGGGCGATCAGTCCGGCCTTAGGTAACCAGTTCGTGGAGCGAGAGCGCGAGAGCATCTATTTCAGAAGAACTTAAAGTTGAGAGCGTGATGAGAGCGTCATTATTACACTATATATATAATTATTTTATATCAATATAATTGACAATTAGTATACAAACATCATTTATTTTGTTTATATTAACAATATATAAATCGTAAAATATTAATGGATAAAGGTTTAATAATATGGAAAAGGGTATTATTTCAATATTGCATTTTATATTGTATTAATCCTTTGTTCCATTTTTCCCATCATAAAATTTAACAATTTGAAATTCGAGTAAAAACTAAATTAAAGCCCAAAATTATTGCCACAAAAAAAGTCCAAGATTATTAGTAAATGGTCTTTGGGATTTCCATCCCCAGTACTTCTACAAGTCTATAGTTACGTTGATGTAAAAACAGAAAGGACAATAATATCCAGGAACCAGAAGCATCGAGAGTCGAGACGGTGGATGATTCTCCTCAATTCAAAGGTGTCTTGCTCTTCCTGTTTGACGTCGAGTACTGGTCGTCATATCTCTCCGACGCCGGAACTCCTTGTTTCCTCCAAAACGAAGTATCTTTATAATCTCAGAGCCCTATCTCACTACTCGTTCGTAGTTCTTTCATTTCATCTCGATCGACCTCATTTAATCGGCAATCTCCTTCATCCATTTAGAGCCTATGGTCGCAATGTTCTCGCCTCTCGTTGAGTCTACTCTTATTTCACCCATTCACCCAGATTAATGGCTCTAAGTTTCTTTTCAAACTCTATGCAAAAGGATAGTTTTAATCGGATCCGCGTTCTCCCACAATAAATCCGCGCTCCCGCCGAAATCAATTCTCGAATTGTATATAACTTGCCAGAAATTCATGTTTTGGCGGATTGGAGCGTGAACGTGGGCTTGGAACCCACGAATTAGGTATCCTAAGTCCGGCCGAACAGATGCACGTGGCTGAAACCTATTCTGTTTTTGTGGGCCGCAACAATCTCTGGGCCGTTTAAGTCCGAGCGAGTACGGTAAGTTGGCCTGTTCCACAGAAGCAAATTTGAAATGGGGGAAGGGTTTTTTCCTTACTGCTATTATATTATGTGTAGATAAGATAGATAGAAATTTAAATTGGGTATTAAAATATAACTAAAATAATCAAAATACGAAAATCAAAGTATCAAAACCAAATATGTACTTACGGGAAATTCAGTGACCAGCTAATCGTTGAAAAAGTCATATGATTTTCAGAATTTTTGTTCATGTATATTTTTAATTTAAAAAAATACAACTAATATACTTACTGTGATTGGTTATGATCATTACTTTTCTTTAAAGTGACCATGGTTCAAATCCTAGTACATGTCTTTTTATAAATAAATAAATAAGTAATTGTGAAGACCAAAATGTTCTTCCTACATTCACTATCATTGCAGGAAATTTGAAATGGAGCAACAATTTTTCTCCTTGTGCTATTATATTATGTGTAGATACATTCCATCAAAATATCGATTTCGATCCTTTTTCCTCAATAAATGCATGAAATCGAGTTGTATTCGATTTGGTACCTGGTACCCCTTTCGATCCTCTAATCTAAATCGTGCTTAATTTGAAACTTGAAATATACCACCATGAACAGAATGTTGGATATCGCCATAATGGATTGCTGCCAGCCACCGTCTGCTCCCTCGCCAGTATTGGAATACAAATTGGTAACATTTGGATACAACAAAGACAGTAACGCAAGTACACGCATGTATCAGGAATCCACGCTAGTGGATTGGCCTTCAGTTGCCCCAAAAAAAACCAATGAAAGAATAGTATGTGTTCTCTCTATAACAGGCCCAAACGTTTTTCATTTGATTTGCATACACTTGTACAGCACCTCACCGAACTTCTTGTACATATGCTTCTTCAGGTACTTCCTCTCTACTTTCTGCCTCCCTTTCATCCCCATTTCTTTCCTCACTTCCGGATTCTCGAGCAAGAATCTTAGGTTCTCGGCAAGAACACGACTCCCTGGACGCCCCACCGGGTGGAGGAGCCCCGTTACGTTGTTCTCCACGATTTCTATCGTCCCTCCAGCTTCTGTTCCTAACACCTGTTGCAGCATCAGGAACCCATGGAAAGCAAATCAGTTTACGGTAGCTTTTGCTGGCCAGAAACAAGGAGTTGAAAGAAGAGGAAATCGGCTGCCTTACCGGAAGACTGAATGCCATTGCTTCAATCGTAACTCTTCCAAATGTCTCTCCGATTCCCTGAAAATGACATTTATCATTTACTTGCCACTGTAAATAAACTGGTATCTTAAGCATAGCACATTGATCAGCAGCAAAGTAATAATGTTATACGAGCACTCGTTATGTCGTATTAGAAGGCACATATCACATAAGTTAAGACTGGTCACCTGGGAGTTTATGACATAAACATCTGCTGCAGAATAAAGTGATGCCACCCTAGTTGTTGCTGGAGTCCACAAGACCGACTTTGACAAATTTGAATGCCGGGATAAGAAACCCAAAAGTTCCTTAACGTAAGGCACCTTATTGCTCTTGGATCCAACAGAGCCCACAAGAACTTTAAGTTTCGATTCCTGTGCTACTGCACTGTAAGAAAGAACCCTCCTAAGATGTGTGTCTTGCAACAACGATCTTAAATGATGTTTCCCGGCCAGGTCAGATAGATCTCTCTCTACATCCGAATTCCTTCCTTTTTGTAGATCATCATGTTCAATCAACAGCTTTGCTGATTCAAGAAGTAACAGCTGACCCTTGCCAGGGTTTATGCTGCTGAGAGACATCACAAGCATATCACTATCATTCAATCCCATCTCTCTCCTAACTGAATCCCGGAGTAACTGTTTCTTCTCGACCATCTTCTCCGGGCTAGAAGATGGAGAATTTAGTGAACATGGGATCCCAGCTACAAAAGCCAACTCGTCATTGACAGAAAGTTCCACCACAGCTGGTGGGGATCTGAGCTTGATGCTTTCTCCCTCACACCAAGTTTGCCATTGTCTGGCCTGGGATTCAGAAAGAAAGACTAGCATTTTGACTCTGTCAAGGACAATCTTCGAGCGATCAAAGTACTCCCTCCTGTTTTCCATAATCCACCACACAATTTGACTTCCCCCAGCTGGAAACCGAGTAATATATTGATCTGCAGAAAAAAGGTCATCATTTGAGTTCATTTACTTCATCAACCCAGAAGAAAAGAGAGCTGCCTTTGGCAATTCTAGCACAGTTCAAGCAAAAGCAGTAAACCAGACAAATGGTAAAACAGGAATACTTCAATAAGAGAATAGTCAAGCATAATCATTAAGCAATGACTCTTACAAACACCAGATAACATACAAAAGCTTACCTATCCACGATGCACAAACTGCTGATCCAGCAATGACAAGATCAGCCTTCATGGCAGTTTTGAAGCTGAAATCTGCTTTATCATCAAGCACTTTGATCCTTCTCTTGGTAAGTTCTGGCATCAGCCCACCTTTCCTGCTGAGAACTACAACCGAAACAGTGGCCCCACAGCTCAAAAGTTCTGATGCTAATTCCAACATGGAAAGTGGAGCTCCAGTCATGGAGAGCTCGTGGAAAATCAAAACGAATTTCCTCGACCATACAAGACGTGCAAAGGCACCCTTCCTATCACAAGTTCCACTTCGCTTCTCGGGACTCCATTCTAAAACTTTGTCCTCTGTTGTCCCAAATGGACCAACAAGCAAACCATAGGAAGTATTCCTTTTAGGGACATCTGGTTCTTCCACCTCTACATCATCTCTTACAACCTCAATTTTCGCCTTCTTCCTGCCACGTCCTCTACCGCGTTGCCTGCGTACAGATCTCTTCTCTTTCTTTTTCGGGACCACGCTCTGATTATTTGATGCTTCATATTCCTTCTTGGCCAAAACAACCTCAATCCCTTTCCCATCTTCCACATGGATTGTACTACCATTTACATCTAGAGAAGACTCATTGCCCAGCAACACCCTTGGATTATTATTCTCCTGAGAATTCTTCGCTTCTGCAATCCGATTTCTACCTCCAAACCCTAGAAATTCATCCTTGTTAATACCATGAGCCCACCTAGACTGAACATAGAACCCTAGGTAAGTCCAGAGAGTAATCAGAAGCAGCCAGTATACAATCCGATTGCTCCGAAACCACTGGAATCTACCTCCTCCACTTCCTCTCCCTTCCCTCCTTGGAGTTCTGCTGGAATTCAACCTCCTATAAGTAGGAGAGTTCCTAGGCGTTGTTCTTCCAGCAGATCCCATGGACTTAAGGTTTCCATTCGGCCTCAACGGTGATTGCCTAGACGTATTCACATGCAAATCTGTTCTCAGTGTGCTCTCCTCCATAACGATCCCGAGCTCAACAGCATTGACAATCCTCTTCTAAACTTACAATCAGCATCCAAGACTTCATGCGAGGCCCTTCAAAGCTTACCTGACACGAGAAAGCAAACGATTCTTATACAGTTCATCAGAAATCAGCTTATACCCAGACAAAAAGATCTTTTCTTGACCACAAATTCTAATCCTTTCGTGTAATTGAGGAATTCAAAAAGGGTTCTCAGGAACCAAAACAAGAAATAAGAGAGAAACCAAAGCAACTAAAATTTTCAAGAGCGGAAAAGGCAAGAAGCAGTCTCAGTACCTAACGAGTCGAATTCCGCGCTTAGTTCAGGAATCAGGATCCCTAAAATCTACAAAAAGAAGCTCTAAATAACAGATGCGATATAGAGCTCAGTTCAAGCTTGGTTACCATACAATGCAAGCTTCAACACACCAGTAGAAAACGCGGGATTCTTCTCTTCCTGTAAACTATCTCAGCGATCAAATCACCTATCGCGCACGTAACAATCTTGTCGGCGTTGAGCACTAAAAAAAGGGAAGTTCAGAATTTTAGTACTGAGGATCAGCAGAGCAAGAATGAACGGAGCTGTGGGAAGGAGAGAAAAAGACAGGCTGAAAGAGAGAGATGAAGAGGGAAAGGAAAGGGAGTTGACAAAAGAAAGGAAACGGACAGCACGTGCGAGTCACACGCGTCATCTGGGACTTGGAGGGGGGCGTTTTATCAGATGTGTCGTGGTTTCCGTGGTGATCTGGCTCTCGAGCCACGTGGGAGTTTTTAATTCGAAGATCCGCCCTCTGTAGCAGTTGTGGGCCATAAGTAGTTACTTCTGCGTGTCGGTGGGTGCATTTGTAGTTCATCCTGGCCATTGGTTTGGCGGGAAAACGGAATCTTTGCATACAAGATACAACTAACATATTGGAAACTTTTAGGAAATCGCATAACCAAGTTACATTTTTGTTCAGATTATTAATTGTGGCAATTATTGTTAGGACTTGGGAGTCAGGAACGGGAGTGACGTGGTGGTCCTTGCAACAAACTGTTACTTAAGGCGATAATGCAACTTTGATAAAAATGTCAAATCTGTGAGAATATGTTTAAAAGAACATCAAATGATCACAACATTTTATGAGTACATTCTTACGGATGCCCTATACGTATCATAGTGTATTAATACGCTTTACGCGTACAACGGGTAAATTCTAAAATCAAAGACCAAGTACTAGCCAAGTTAATCTCGACATGCCGATCCAACAAGAAGAGAGTTGTGAAAAGAGGGGGGAAAGTTCAAGATTTTACACACTGTTAATGTCACACCATGTTACAACACCCAGGTGAGGAACACCCGGGGGCCGGGAGTTCACAGGTTAACTAACACTCAAAAGATACAAAAAAGGAGGTGTAGATAGACTTCTTATTCCAAACAAAAGCACAGCTTGTAACAGTTCCCTCATCCAACAGACCAAAATAAATAACACATCTCATCCAAACTTCAGAAAACAGTTCTCAAACATCTCTCTCCAAACAATGTTCAGGAGGTCTTCAACCGAAGCAAAATAACTTACAGTACCGAAGAGGGAAAAAATGGAAAGAACATAAGCTCAAGGAAGAAAACCAATCTCTTATCTGTCACTGATCAACCACGAGGCAGACCAAAGCAAACAGCTTTTCTGCACAACTCTATCTGGAAATAGCTTTATACGCCCTACTTAACCGTCTCTGGGAGAAACCCTCTCCTGATATTACACACTTCTCATATGCTTCAGTTTGAAAACCAAGTCACAAGAAAACCTGAAACCACACCAAGCCACAAACCCACAATTAAACCACATGGTATGACTTCTCATCAAAAGGATGTTCAGATTCAGAGCCATACATACCGTACGTTAAAACAAGAAACTGCCACCCGTCAAGCCACATAACTTGTGTTCCAGCACGAGCAGATGTTTGTCGTTACATATAACTGCATTTCATGCAGCAGGTCAAACCTTGCTTGGCAGAATGTTTTGTTGCTAACGGAATCTGTAAAGCCTGACCACAAGGGGATTTACCTAACATTTCTTTGGGATGGTCTGTCGCACAAAGCACTCCATGCTGGAGAACACAAAGGGCCTGATGTAAACACGCACAGCCTGCATCAAGTGACGAAAAATGCTTGAGTTTCATAGAGGCCAATAAAGAAGCACCAAAATTTGAGGTTTTCAATGGTTTGAAAACACAGATGACACAAGATCCGGGCTGAAGCTCTACTTTTCAGCAAAATCTAACCTTCCTCTAATTCCTATTCCAGACATGCATCCCCACCACATCTAGGTACTTGTGCTTGGCTGCTTAAAATCCATTTCTGAGTATCTGTAGAAAGAAAGAGAAGTACATTTTAAACCTCAACACGAGACACCAGAGAGAAATGAAGGAGTACATTACGCAATCAACTTACCTGCGAGGCTTCTGTCGTTGCCCATATTCGTCACCCGCGGAATCTGCAAACAACCAACATTGATCAGTTACCATTTACTTTAATGAGATTGGACAACTAACAGGATCAAAGACAAGGTAACAGGTAAAAGGTCACTTTTCCTACCAGGTCTTTGTGAAGGTTTCAATTCATTGTTTGATTTGCTCGCGTTGGTCTCTTTGCTGCAAAGACAAAAGAACAAAATTAGAAAAACTAAAATTACCATAAGTAAACCAGTTGCAGCTACTTTTTGCATTGAATTGATACAGGAACTTACGAAAGATAGCACCAAACTATTTGAACATAGCGTTCATGCATAAGTTCAATTATTGTAAGCATGGAATATAGAGACTGTTCATGACAATGATCCAATCTGCTACCACTATACAGGTCTCTGAACATGCTAATATTGGAAAGGGGTGGAACACCAAATGTAAGAAATCCAACAAAAAGGTTTTACAGATTCTATACAGCTTCTGATACGGACAAGTGTGATTCTGCCAAATGGTTAAAGTACAACAGCATCCTCTATAAATGGTCAGCAGCAATTAATTCTTCTTAACATGAAAAACTATATACTTCAATGAATGTCTCCAGCAGAGAAAAAGTGTTTAGGATGATACAAACATGACAGAATACTTCCAATAAAAGAAACCTAAAACTATTACCCAGCAAGGGCAACCTTGTCAAGAGCAATTTACAATAGTCAAGATGAATCTGCTAAAAGAAACCCTGCATTATCGAAGCTAACCTAGAAGAGCTCGTAGAGGATGCCTGCCCGGCTGGCAGTGCATGATAAGAAGAGCCATCAACAGTAAGATAGGAAGGACAGTACGCAGCACCTAAGGCTCCTGCAGCACCAGTCAAAACTGGCAACCTGCACAAATAATAAGAATTTTGAACACCATCAGCAGGAACACTATAAGAAGACATGACAAGTTGTTATCAACCACTTGAAGAGCAGAACTAAAAAACAAAAGTACCATGTCATTTCTGAATTCCCCAAACCATGTTGATTCTGAGCAACATATCCAGGAAAAGCCATGCCAAGAGCAGGAACACCCATGCCACCAGGATGCTGGCCACCAATTTGCATCACTGCAGGCCAAATCAACAGTGAAACAAGTATTATATACACATTCCAAATCAACCATATACTGCAATTACTCATAGGTTTCTCTAATTCAAAACTAAAAGGAAGACAAAGAACACAAAAAAAAGCCTCTAGTAAAGAAAACTATTCTCCCGAGTCTGGTGAGTCCAAAGAGGGAGTGTTCATGTCAAAAGCACCAAAGCATGTAGGAGCACAAGGCAGACCTACCGGCTACCACAGAACAGGAATCTTATAACAAAATGAAATTAAAGACACAACAAACAAAAGCATAAGGCTACATAAGGCTCAGCTACATAAGCCAGTAATTCAATACAAATCTCACATTGAGAAAAAAACTATAATATATAAATAGCTATAGATGCAAAAGACAGTACCAGGAAAGAAAGCAGGTCTTGCAGGGAAGTTCTGATCACCAGGGACAACACCCATAGCTCCAGAGGTTGCCACAACTTGAGCTCCCCCATACATGAACGGACCTTTCCCCTGCCCAACCAATGCTGTCCTAGATTTACTAGACTCTGAAGTACTTTCAGCTTCACCATGTTCATAAGAATTTTCTGACATAGCTGAACTGGGTGGAGAAGAAGCTCGAGATCCTCCACCAGAACGCTGTGATGACTGCTGACTAGGTGCTTGAGCAGAGGACTGAACCCGGCTTTGGGAAACACCTCGCTGAACTGCATGGTGTTGAGCTGCTTGAGAGGTTCTATTGACTTGGTTCTGAGGGACAGTCGATTGATAACCCACCTGTCCAGAAACAGGTACAGCTCTTCCATGAGCCCTGGTTTGAGACGTTTGTGAGGAGTTGTTGACCATTGAAGAAGAAACCAGTGGCATCTTAATATTGTTGAAAGCCTTCCCAGAACTCAATGGAGCACGGTCATCAATGTAAAGTTTGTCCATGGCAACAGTGTCGGATACATTTTTCCCACGTGCTAGTGGACCAGTCTGCTGCACATTATTCCGACTTGCACTTCCAGATTGCATATTATTTTTCTGTGTCACAGTAGCATCTTTACTTGAAGACCCGGAAGGATAAAATGGAGGAGAAGCAGAATTTAAGCTTGAATGTTTTGTTGCTGGTGGCACTTGGTCTGATTCTGGATTTGACATGACTGTTGCTGTTGCTGCTCTACCCAAACCATGTGATGTCTTCTCAACAGCCCGCTTATTTTGCAAAGAAGGTGCTGGACTACTGTTCTTCCAGTTAGGTTCATACTTTCTGGGGCCTCTCCCTCTCACACTTTTAGGTCCCTGGCTCTGGTTGTTCCCATTGCTGAATGCACCAGAGCTGCTTCTTCTTCCATACCCTTGTTCTGGACCACGACTCTTACCACCACGACCACGATAACTGCCTCTAGAGTTTCTTCTACCCTAAAATACTTCTCAGGTCATTTTCCAGAAGAGAGAAATCTAGACATAATGCAAAAAGGAACAAGAACATAGAACAAAGCGAGTACGCTGACTCATCAAAATAAACCACGTTACAGAATAATCACCTGGTCATGATGTCTTTCCAGTGAAGACATCTCTTCGAATTTGTCATGCCCCCACCTTTTGTCATCTTTGGACTCCCACAGCTTCTGCCCACCATAGGTTCGCCTACACCAGGAAATGGGGACAAAAATACGTTGAACTCTCAGCCAATTCTTTTTATCATGATTGAATTAACGTCATCAGAACCAACTATATATGTTCATTTCAAAAAGGAAACGAGACAACAAGCAAGAGTTATATTTCTCACCAGAACAGCTTTCGTACCAATTGAATGCAAGTACCTTACCAGTTGCCAGTAGATTGTCAACACAAATTTTTCTAACCAACTATGTAAGCAAAAGTTTACCTACTGATTAATTATCACCAGACCCAAATACATACTGTTCGCAAATACTTTAAGTTGGGGCGGTAAGAGGAAAAAGGTAAGACTAAAGAACAAATAACAAGAACCAGCCGATGAACAAGGACAGAAGCATGACAATCAGCCATTTGCCATTTTAAGAAGAACATTAACGTCTTATCTTCAAGGACTCCTCTGCAGGAACCTTGTCCCCAGTGCCTTAAGCTACCTTGTTGAGCACCTCGATGTGTCAGTTAGACCTAGGAACAGTGGCAAGAACTAATTCGCATTTTTGAATAATTACTGGCTGCATTTACAGTACCCAACAATTTTGTACCGCTTCTGATCACTTCCCAACTACTTCACCTTATGACAATAACACCCCATATCCAAAAGCCATAACAAGGACGGACTCTAGGCACATCATATGGAAGATTTTGCACATGTATCTAGGGCCAAAGGGAACTCCAAATCCTTAGAGATCATAAACAGCCAGCTTTTTTTATTTCAAATACGAAAGGAGGTTGTAGTTAGATACCTGTTTCGACCACCAGAACTTTCCCTAAACCGATCATCGTGCATGTAAAAAGCCCCAGCAGTTGGTACAGCGAAAGGTTCATTCTCTTTCTTCCCCTCTTCATCCCCTTCCTCGCCAATTATATCCTCATCCTCCCTATCTTCCATCCCATCTTCCAAATTCCCACCCTCCATATCTCTGTCTCCACCCTCTACTTCACCAGCTTCTCCTCTTACTGGAATTGTGTTTTCCTCTTTCTGTCCCTGAAAACCTTCTATCTCCTCACCATGGTCCCTCTCATTCCCAACCACATAACCGTCCTCTTCATCTTCACCATAAACTTCTTCTTCTCCTCCATCTAATGGCTCCTCTTCTTCGTCTTCTTCATCATAATCCGCAGCCCCACCTTGATCATCAGATTCATCATCGGAATGAATGGGCGCCCTCCGATCCAGCCCAAGACGCTTCTTCTCCAATTCGCCATCAACTTCCTCGTCATCACTGGCAGCCTCGCGCCTCCGCAATCCCAGGGGACGCTTCTCCTCCTCTAGATCGCTTTCATAGTCAACCTCTTCCTCGCCCATCTTAGCCATTCAAAAAAAAAAAAAAAACAGAACGCTTTCTTCCTAAATTCAAAAGAATCGAAATCGAGCGCTGCACTTCACCGGAAACCCAATACGAAATTGGAGCAAACGCCCGCGCCGACCAAAATTAAGAACAAATAATTAACGAATAGCACAGGGTTAGGCGCAATCAAAGCCCTTGGAGCTTAGACGAGCGATGGAGAAAGGGGGAACCGGGGAAGACAGTAACGGTTTGCTTCAGTGACCAAACAAAACGAAAACCCCACAAACCCACAAGGCAGAAAATTAGGGGAAAAGAAAACAAAACGGTATTCGAGAGAATCAAAAGACGGAATTGAAGGAGGGAAGAAGAGAAAGTTGGGGTTTTGAAGAGGGGAATGGATCTGCAGAGGGGTAAGGAATCGCGGAAACCCTAGATTCCCAGATAGGGAAAGAAGGAAAGGCTCAAAAGTACAGAGATGCAGAGGAAGAGAGAGGCGGGGATTATATATTTATGGGATTGCGTCACAACGTACATATATAAATCTAATTCGGAAAAGAAAGACAAAGGGGAACGCAAGGAAGAAGAGCTGAAGTCCACTGCTTCCGTAAGATTTAATGACATAAAACGGTGACAGAAGAGTGTCGTTCCGGGGTAAATGCGGCAAAAATAGGAGCATCAGTCTACGATTGGTCTCTGGAGAGCTGGGGATATTCTTTTTTCTTCTTCTCTTTGTAGAATCTAAACCCAGCTTTATCCATTGGTAGAAACGGTTACATCATCCGGTCTCAGTTATTACACAAACACATTGGTGGTGATAGTCGATCAAATCAAACTTCCGCTTCATAACATTTAGTCATCTAGTATCAATATGAGCCATAATGTGTACAACTTTATTGGAACTTCGTTTTCCTGGATCAATTTGCAAATGTTCTACAAGTTACTTCTATTTCGGTATAGACCTTATCAGTCTTTGTGAGTTTCGAAATCAACGATAAGTAATCTCACTCCAGAGTTGGTTTGCCCAACGAATGTTGTTTTACTAACTACATCCCCAATTCAGTTGTTCGTGCTTTCGCTCTCCTCTGGACTTCGACTTCCCCTCATTTTCTTTGCTGCTACCAAAAGGAAATTCTCATTTTCATTGTTGATAACGACTCCAAGGCCAATTCCTTCCGTATCATCCCAAAGTTGGTATTAACTTTCATTATGTCCGGCATTGGTCGACACCATTGTTGTTGCACAGATTGGTCACTCACTCGCTCATAGGCTCGAGTAAAGTTTAGTGTTGATGGTAATCATCCAGGAAAGAAGCAGAACGATGGGCTATGTCATCCTCAGCCAGCTTAATCTCATTGAACAACTAAACATTCCTCTCCCTCCACAAAAATCATAACAAAACACATCAATCCTTTGTCTCGAATTCTAAAGTCTCGCCCCCCCCCCCCCACCTTCTTCCACCACTGCATACAGTCTTGACCCTCCCTCATCTCAAACCATCGTCCCAACTTTGTAGGCCTCCAGATTATGGTCGACCATCCACATTCACTAAAAATATGAACCTGGGTTTCTCTAAGGTTACAAAAAGGGCAAGCATCACTTCTTCGCTGACTACGGGCACTAACATGATCTCATGTTGCCAGACAGTTCCTTGTGAAACTCCAAATGAAATGTCTAACCTTTGGAGGAACTAATGTGCATGTATGTAATGTTATTAATGTAATAAAGTAATAAAATTCCTAAATATGTCTAGGGTCGTATTTCACAAGAACTTCAAATAATAACTACTCATAATCAATCACTTATGCTCAACAAAGACACGCCAATAATATAAATCGATGGGTTGAGGTTCCCTATGTTTGATAGTTCTCGAGACAAACATATATAAATTAAAACATAAAATTAATAATAAGGTAAATAAAAGGACACACAATTGATAAGAAAGTTCATTATAGATGATCATATATCCCAATCTCAATAATGGTATGCATCAATTCATCTTTTATCATGTAAATTTATCACTTTCACTAAAGCATTCATAATCGATCTTTGGCCACATGCAAAAGGAACTACAACTAACTAATGTATGATTTTAATTTCATGTCATTAACCAATCAATCAAACTATAAAGTAAGGATAAAACATTAACTACTTAGGGTATGGAATAAGGGGTTTTAGGCCTTTTCCTCCTAAAACTCGGTCAAAGGTGCCATGGTACCACTGAGACTCGGACTTCTTAACTTGGGATAAAAAGGAATATTCTAGAAGCTTTCATGGGCTTGACCATGCGGCGATCGAGCATGGATTACCACCACCATTGTTTTCCCTCTCTATTTGGGTTGTTTGGCCCACAAGTAATCTCTCCATGGATTTTCAGCGCGACTTGTTGGGTATAGACCAGTGAAGGATGGACCCGTCAAATGCCCGTAATGGATTTTCTTGCAGGATTAGGCTGAAAATTCTCCAGTAGACTCATCTTCCGCTCATATGAAGACCTCATGAAGGCTTCCCTCCACTGGGCTTCATTTTATTTAGGAACCATCCTTGATCTTCTAGTAATTACACCTTTGATCCTCCAACTTGATCCAAATGTTGATCAAAATCATTCTAAATTGTATTTGACCTTAAAAAGCACAAAATAGTACAAAAAAGGCAGTGTTGTCAAAGCCGAACCGAGCCGGCCGGCCGGACCGCCAAAGCCGCCACCCGGCCGTAAAACCGGCTCGGATCAGCTATTTAACCGCCACGGTTTTATACAGCGGCCGACGAGCGGCCGAAGCGGTTAACCGCTCGAGCCGCTCAAGCCGATCGCGCGGTTCGGCCGTTTGGTTTACCCTAAAAAAAGGCCAATCGTGGAATGGGGCAGCCAAACAAAATCTTAACTTTCATTTTATTTCTTCATCTTCGACCTAGAAGTAGAACAGACAACAGAGGGAGAGCGGCGCCACCCTGCCGCTGTCAACCATCGCCCCAGCGCTTCCGTCCCGTCGCCGCAAGCAGCGCGCCATCCTACAGCGGGGTAATTCATCTCCCTTCTTCTTCACTCTTTCCGTTGGTTCTGGGGATTTCTATGTTAGCATTTCTCCAGTGTGGGTATTATTGGGCTGTCGGTGGCGATTGGTTTACTAGGTATTTGATTAGTGGTGGATCTAGTAGTCGTTTGTCTGATCTTGACGTGATTAGCGTAGATTTTGAGATTTGCTGATAGGGGCAGCTAGTTTGCTTACGAAATGGACTACCGGTTCTCAAACGGTTTTTAAAAGGTCTAATGCCGGCTGGACCACTAATGACCGAACCGTTCACGTTATCGGGTCATACTCCGGCTCGGCTTTGACAGCATTGCAAAAAGGCATAAAAATACTAAAACACAGCCTAGGTCTATTAGACCATCTCCAATAAGGAGGGAGCCAAAGTGTCAGAGTGCTAGAATCATTTGGCACTTTGGCTCCCAAAAGTAAAATTTGCTCCAACAATGAAGTGGTAGAGTTAAAGTGCCAAACAATGTATTTTTTTTTATTACTTAGATTAGTGTAGATTTCATAGTTATAATTAGATAGATTGTAGATTATTTTTATATAGGTAGTAGTAATTAATTAATACGAACATTTGGATGTAATTTTTGTAATTTGGACCAAAAAAATTATCGTAAAATATGACTCCATCAATGACGAAAACACAATATTTGGTTCAGATAAGAATAGATTCATCACATGTTTGTCAGATTGAGTTGTGTCATGAACTATTCATTCAGCTTTAATCAAAATGAGTCGTGCCATCAACTGTTCATTCAACTTTAATCAGAATGAGTTGTGCCCTCAACTGTTCATTCAGCTTTAATCAGAATGAGTTGTGCAATCAACTATTCATTCAGTTTTGGCCTTTGTTGAAGAAGGAATCCTTTCATGTTTCTATAAATGAACCCTCAAACTTGGCCATTCTACTCATCTATCATTCAACCTTCTTTCTTGAAAAAAAAAACATCTAGCCTTTGTTTATCTCTCTATTCGCCCAAAACTCATTTTCCTTCATGGATTCCCCTGGAAGACTAGCTTATGAGAGGAAAAGGAAGCCGATGAGAGGCAAAGAGAGGTTGATAATATGTCATGGGAGTATGAGTGTCAAGTTGAGCATGAACGTATAGATACGTTCATGATGTACGAAAACCAAATGAGCCAACATCAAGCAATGTCATCTCGACATAGTTCATCATCACGAAAAACAGTGAGACATAACAAAGAAGACGGCCACAAGCGTTTGATGGAAGGTTATTTCAACTCAAATCCAACCTATGATGCTAAGGCCTTCACAAGGCGATACCAGATGCATCCTTCCTTATTCAACCGGGTCATGAATGACGTCGTCCACCACAATGACTACTTCAAGCAAGGGAAAGATTGTTCAGTTCGTGACTCATTCTCCCCACACTAGTGCTTTCCGCATGCTTGCATATGGATGCTCGACACACTTTGGAGTTTGGACGATACATGTCGAATGGGTGAGAGCACCATGCTAGAGTGTCTGAGAAAGTTCTGCTCGGCTATCACCAACATTTATGGTGCTCGATACTTGCGTGCACCAATAGTGGATGATACTCAACACCTCCTTAATCATGCCGAAGAACGTGGCTTCCATGAATGATTGGTCAATACACTGGGCACAAGAAGAACTGTCCAACTGCTTGGGCAGGTCGATACACTAGGCACAAGGAGAAACCGACCATTGTCCTTAAAGTTGTTGCATCATATGACACATGGATATGACATGCATTCTTTGGAACACCTGGATCGGACAATATCGATACTCATGGAGTATCCCCACTATTCGATCAAGCAGTACAAGGACTGGTTCCCAAGGTCAATTATGAGGTAAATGGTAATATTTACGATCAATGTTATTACTTGACTGATGGAATCTATCCTGAATGTGATACATTTGTGAAGACTATTAGCAATCCTGTTAGAATATGACTTGAATTTTATTTGGGTTTGTTTTGTGTTTTGGTCCTATTCTGTTTGGGTTTGTGTTTGGGCTTTGTTTTGGCCTTTTCCTTGTAGGTTTGGAAAAGGTGTTTGGTTTTCTGTTTGGGATTAGGAGAAGAGTTCTATAAATACTCTTCATCACCCTAGTCTGTAGTAAGGTCAGTCGGGTTAGTTTGTTTGGTTTGTCAGTTTGGAATTTGGGTTTGTAACCTGTACTCTCCTCAAATTAGTGAAATTTGTCCCCTCTGTCCGTGGATTAGCTAGCCCACATTGTGTTAGTGAACCACGTTAAATTTGTGTTCCTTCGTGTTGGTTTGGATTATCGATTGCCACGCTTCTGGACAAGTGGTATTAGAGCCTGGTTGCGGTTTTGGGAATTTGGCGCTGGACTGAAGTTTTGCTTTGTGGAGTTTGTTTGGAGTTTGTTTGATAGTAAGAATGGATGCTATCAGTATGAAGATTGAGAAGTTTACAGGAAGAAACAGTTTCAGTTTGTGGCAGATCAAGATGCAAGCCTTGTTGAAACAATAGGGTTTGTGGGCTCC